CTTTCCCTAAATTTTGCAACTATTTAGCCCTTTAAAACACAATAAATGCTTGTTTAGTCAATTTTCTTACTTTCAATTAATAATATGAAAATCAAATATAAAAAAAGGGACACGTGGATATTTTCTTGGGCCTTAAGTGTTTCAATCGATTATATTTTCATTAAAAGCCTTGGGCCTCCAAATTTAAGGTAGATGGTGGATTCAATTCGAGACTTTGGGGGCCTTCAATTTGTTTTCTTTCTGACTTTTGGTCTTCAAATTGACCCAATAAATCAACTCAAACGTGTATATGTATAATGGGGTTTGTTAGATTAACACATTTATCGCACATATTTATTCTGATAAATTACTGTTATGGTAAAGTACTTTTACAACTCAATAATCGGCTGGGGGTAAAAATGTTGCTTAATTAATATGGGGTCATTTTGAGAAAAATTGGTGAAAATATGGACCAAATCATAAATAAACATCTGAGGAGGAGGACAGTTGAGGAGCTCACCTGTCTCTTCCTGCATTCCGCAGCTCTTTAATTGCTTCTTCCCATCTCTCCATTATTCGCATCTTCTTCGTCTTCTTCGCTCTGTTCAACGAAGAGTTCTCGTTAGTCTTACCATGGCGGGATTTCTCTCCCTCCTCAGGCGCGCATACCTCACTCTCTACAACTGGACCGTCTTTGTTGGATGGTAAGTCGACCCATTTTGAAACTCTGCCTTTCGGATTTCATGGGTTTCTCTCGGATTTGAATTCGTCTCCCTGGTATTTTTTTTTTCCTCTGGTTTTTGTTTTGGTAACATTAGGGCTCAAGTTTTGTACCTTTCTCTGAAGACGCTGAAGGAATCGGGACACGAACATGTCTACGAAGCTGTCGAGAAGCCTCTCCAACTTGCTCAGACCGCCGCCGTTCTCGAGGTCTGTTTGTTTCTCGGTAAAATTTAGGATTTTCAATTCCCGGGATACAGCGGAGAATGTGAATTTACAGTAATCCCTGGTTAGGATCCCTGGAGCTGATTGTTGTTTTTCTTCTTCTTTTGACTGTTTCAAAATTGGATTTTGAAATTCTGGGTCCTGAACAGATTCTTCATGGATTGGTAGGTGAGTAATCAGATCCTGGACTTTTCTTGGACCAGATTGATTTGATCCTAATCACAGATTCATGTCTTGTTTGTGCTCTGTTGTTATGTCTGATTTCCACTAGGTTTGGTTAGATCTCCAGTTTCTGCAACGCTGCCACAGATAGGTTCAAGGCTATATGTTACATGGGGCATCCTATACAGTTTTCCCGAGGTCTAAAAGCATTTACGATACATACCTGTGTTGCTGTTTGATTACTTGATTGTTTGAATTATGGTTCGGTTATTTTCAGGTTCGATCTCATTTCCTTGTTACCTCGTTGGTCATCAGTTGGTCCATCACCGAGGTGAGTATTTTGTGGTTTTTCGTTTATTTGGCTGTTAATAGTCGTCACTCCCTGTGAAGTAGATTCGCCATTTTGATCATATGTCTTGAATTTTATGTTTCAACTCTATACATCAATTCTGATGGACTGTTCAAATGTCGATCAAAGAGATTTTTGTACCTTTTTCTAGCTAACTATGAAGATTTATTAGCCTTAGTGCACGATTCCTTGACATATATTTAATCAAGCCAGAGACGAAGTCATGTATTCATCATCTCGTAATGTTCAATTCCATATGAGATGGTTCTGAATGCTTGATATCTCAGACTATACGGTACTCATTCTTCGGCCTCAAAGAAGGTTTGGGCTCTGCTCCTTCATGGCTCCTATGGCTCAGGTACAGCAGCTTTCTGTTGTTATATCCAACCGGTATCACCAGCGAAGTCGGTCTTATCTACCTCGCCTTGCCACATATTAAGGTACAATACCCCATTCCGGCCATTGAATAACCCAAATTCCTTTCTTGGCGTTCTTGAAATGGGCATGTGCTTTTAGAGCGGTCGGATATAGCCCGTTGTAACGTTTGAAAAGGGTCCGAATTCCGTAGAGTCCAATCTAAAGAATAGTCTTGAAATATATTTGACACGTGAATTCATAAATCTTACGCTTTTTTCGATCCAAGTTTTGGATGATGAGACTACAACTCAAGAAAATGTTGTGATGGATTGTCTTGAATCACATGGGATAGATCCCGATACCGCCTTTTTTTGTTGTTGTTGTTGTTGTTGCAGGAGACAGAGAAGTATTGCATTAGGATGCCGAACAAATGGAACTTCTCCTTTGACAATTTCTACGCCGCAATACTCGTTCTTGGAATCTATGTCCCAGGCATGATCACACTCCGACCACCTCTTTCTTTAGAACATTTTCCTCACGCCCCTGTTCCAACAACAAAAAAAGTTTTTTTTTCCTCTCACTTGATTGTTTTTGAATGGTTTGAGATAATTGCAGGGAGTCCTCACATGTACACTTACATGCTTGGCCAGAGAAAGAGAGCTCTCTCCAAATCCAAGAGTGAATGAGAAGAAGAAGAACCCTCCCCTTTGGTTAATGATTAATATTCGGTTGCACTTTAGTACATTACATCCACCAATGTAATCTGATTTTTTATTTTGTTTTGTGAGATCGTTATCTGGTCGGTCCAGCGATTTCAATTATTACACGGATCATTACTCGATGTTTTTTTTTTACAGGAGCTTAACAATTAGTATGATTACCCTTGCAAAAAAAAAAAGGAGAGATACATTATGGTACGATAATTAATCAAGCCCCAAAAAAGACATGAGCCTACCCAGCCGTGTCACATAACACTTTCGGACACAGAGAGTAGAGTTAGGTTTACAATATTACAGCAGTGTTACACAGACATTACAAGCGTTAGAAGAAAATTCTGCACACAAGGTAAAAGGTAAATTTTTAAACAATTAATTTTTGCTGAGATTAATAGATGAGGAGGGATTGATAGCACACAATATTTGTCTCAAAAGAGGCTAGACTGTCTTTTATCATTTTATTATTAGGGAGAAAAAGGAAAAAGTTATGAACCTCTTGAGAACCGTGAAACGACAGCGTATAGAATACATATAATCTAGCAAGCACGAGCACCCCTCCCTCCGCCTTTCCTCTTTTTTTTTTTTTTTTTTATATTCCAGACGAGGGAAAATCTCTGCGAGGGGGGAAAGCGAGCAGAGCCCAAACATAAGAATACTTGATTCGGAGGAAATAAATTCAAAAACTTTTGAATTCCTCCGTACGGAATCTGAGGCTATTGCTCCAGAGTCTGGTGGGTTTTGCTTGGAATCTGGATACAATTTAGGGTTTTTGTTTTGGATGCAATGGCGGAGCAGACGAGTAACAACAACAGGTGGAACTGGGAGGTGAGTGGGTTCGAACCCAGGAAGTCATCTTCTTCGACCGCATCGTCGTTTGAGGAGGGCGATCACCGGCCGATTGCTCCTCTGATGCGTCGGTACTCGATCTCGACGGCGTCGTATCTGCCGCACTCGTCGGAGCTCTCGAAGCAAACGCTTGCCTCTAAGGTTCAGAGACTGAAGGATAAAGTCAAGGTGAAAAGTTAATGTCTTTTTCAGTGAAACTGCACCTTAAATCGGTTTACGCATCTTCTTCATGGAAGTTTTTCTGGAACTTTTTGTCAGTGGATATGAATGTGGATAAAAGGCATTGAGTGGAAGAATTAGTTTTTTGTGCTGGAACTTTTGAAATTATCTGTGCTGGAGGAAAGGTAGGTTAACTTTTTATTCTAGAGCTTGTTAGAGTGCGGTAAAATCTGGGTTAGGAGGGAAGTTTCTATAGTAAGTTTTTCCTTACAATTTGCCCGACATTGGTTAGTTACTTATTCCAGTGAATGTTATGGGTAGTCCATATCCAAAAGGCCGACTGATCCTTTTTTCTATATGAGTTCCGTGCTTAGGCTTGGCCATATCGGCAATTGCATTGTGGGGAAGGTTTGGAAAGTTGTTTTTGTCATAAATTCCTCGAGTTCCAAGTTGAAATGGTACAAAATGCTAGTTTTGTTTCTCTTATTATGATGAGTCTTTAGAAACTTGATCAGATTATATGCAACCAGGTTGTGTAATCGGGAGATTCGATACAAATTTAGGGTGGCAAAGTTCTTTGGTTGAAGCCTTTGGGTATTAAGAAAACCGTATGTTGGTTGAACAGCATGCAAAGGAGGATTATTTGGAGCTGAGACAAGAAGCTACTGATCTTCAAGAGTATTCTAATGCAAAGCTTGAAAGGGTTACACGCTATTTAGGTGTTCTTGCTGAGAAAAGTCGCAAACTAGGTAAGTTATGAGTTCCTACATCAAGGTGTGCTCCCCGAGAAAGATTTCAAAAGAATGTATTTTGTGCAACGATCAATGGTCCATGTTAGAATCCGTATTATGGAAATGAAAGGCAGATGAATTGATTATTTACATTTCATCACTTGTGACCAATTTCTTGTAGGATAAATGTTGATAAGAAAGAATAGCTTGGACCATTTTCAATGTTTGAAATTTCATGAATTCATCTAGTTACTCGTCGTGTTGTGTAACTTTTGGGGATTGACTGTTCATTTATCAACGAAACCCACCAGATCAATTCGTCATTGAGACTGAGGCTAGGATATCTCCACTTATCAATGAGAAGAAAAGACTGTTCAATGAATTATTGACAGCCAAAGGTACTAATCTTAACTTTGTCAAAGTCATCTCCCTCTTCGTCTCTATCAGCTTTATCTGTTCGTGTCAAGCTTCGTTGTTACTCTTTATAATGGTGTGATAGTTTTCTGTGACCTTCAATAGCTTAATCTGACATTTTCTTTCTTCTTGCAGGTAACATTAAGTTATTTTGCCGCGCAAGACCGTTATTTGAAGATGAAGGCCCTTCCATTGTTGAATTTCCTGATGGTTGCACCATTCGCGTAAATACTGGTGATGATAATCTATCAAATCCAAAGAAGGATTTTGAATTTGACAGAGTTTATGGGCCTCATGTTGGGCAAGGTGAGATATACCATACATTTCATGTCAATCCAGTTTCACTTTATGTTTTAAAAAAATTGCTTCTAAGTTTTATCCTAAACGCAGTGGGCATTTTCCCTTAATTCTAAGGGATGAAATCTATGTACTTATTCCACCGAATGTGTTTCTCATACCTTTTTCCTTCTCCCCTTTCAGCTGCATTGTTCAGTGATGTTCAACCTTTTGTGCAATCTGCACTGGATGGATCTAATGTCTCTGTATTTGCGTACGGACAAACTCATGCGGGAAAGACATATACAATGGTTTCCCCCTTTCCTTTTCCTCCCTGAATTTTTATAATTAGGTTTTCCCAAGAGATATTATAAGCCAGCTATATCATGAAATATTCATGCGTGTTTTAATATCTAGCTTTGCTCTGTATTTGCATAAGGATTGTTTGTTGTGTAGGTTCTTGAAATTCTCAGTCCATGCAGATGTAGAAAATTATTTTGCTTTCTTCTTGATAAATATTTTCTTTTTTATTTCTTGGTTGTTCTGAACTAAGCCCATGATACAAGTGAATGAATTCTGAAATAGGTAGAAGAATGTGCTTATGGTGATTTCTTTTGGTATACATTGCCAGGTGTTTTAAAATGGTAAGTCAAAGTAGTATGTGATATGTTCTCTGTTGATTCAACTGATATTGGCTGTTGTTTCTCAGGAAGGAACTGCTCACGACCGTGGTTTATATGCTCGTTGCTTTGAAGAACTTTTTGATTTGGCCAATTCTGATTCAACTTCCACGTCTCGATTTAATTTCTCCGTTTCAGTGTTTGAGCTCTATAATGAACAGGTGGTTGTGTTAATGCTATCTTTTTCTTTGTGAAAGATGATCTTGTTGTGGAATTTGTTCATTGTTGTTACTCAATCACTTTCATTTTCAGATAAGGGATTTGCTCTCTGAATCTCGGAGCAACTTGCCAAAGATTCATATGGGATTCCCAGAAGCAGTTGTAGAACTTGTGCAGGACAAAGTTGATAATCCATTGGAGTTCTCAGGAGTCTTGAAATCTGCCTTGCAAAACCGGGGAAATGATAAATCAAAATTCAACGTTACGCATCTGTATGTTGAATTTTATTCATTCACAGTTTCGTCCCTTTTCTCTCATGTGTGATTCTTTTCTGGTGTTCTCTAGTTGTGCTTCTCTTATGATTTTCTTATCTTTTTTTTGTTGGTAGGATTGTCTCAATTCATGTTTATTATAGCAACACGATTACGGGAGAAAATGTATATAGCAAGCTCTCTTTAATCGACTTGGCAGGAAGTGAAGGCTTAACCATGGAAGATGACAGTGGAGAACATGTGACTGATCTCCTGCATGTCATGAAATCGATTTCAGTGTATGTTAAATTGTCCAATTTCCTATTTTTATCGATTTTCATGGACTGAATGCTTTTTCTGCCATGTGTACATGCATTTTTTAGTTCCATTCAAATTTTTATGCTGCATTTGTCTTAGTTTTGGAGTTCTTTGGGCCATTCGTCTGCCTTTTACTCAATCCATTTTCTCTGCTTCTGTAGGCTGGGAGATGTTTTATCTGCTTTGACTTCAAAAAAGGATGCTATTCCGTACGAAAATTCAATTCTTACAAGAATACTTGCAGATTCACTTGGTAAACATTTTAAAATTTTAGGTGCATGGGTTCAGTCCTTTATGTTTTACTCCTGAAAATTGTTTCGTTTTTATATGGTCGTTCTTCTTTCCCATTGCCTTAATCTCTTCATTGAACAAGATAAAATTTTGTGTAATGTGTAGGGGGGAGTTCCAAAAGTTTGATGATAGTTAACATTTGTCCAAGTGCACGAAACTTGTCTGAGACAATATCATGTCTTAATTATGCTGCCAGAGCTCGGAATGCTGTACCTAGCCTCGGGAATCGTGATACTATAAAGAAATGGAGAGATGTGGTAAGTGTTTATCGTGTTTTTCCCTCCGTATTTCATATATTAATGCATCCTTTCACATCGTTGCATTTGGAACTGATCAAAAGAAAGGAGCTTGATTCCTGGTTTTCAATTTTTATGGTTAAGTAGTCTGGCTAAACTGTAAATCCTGACATACAGTCATACATCTTTGCAGCTGCATTAGAATCTCGTGGATGAAAACAAGATGTTGAATTTCTGTACCTAAACGGGTAAAAAAAGGCTCAAACATAAGATGATTTGCTTGACATATGAAACATTTCTGTACGAAAGTTTCATTGATTAATCTGTTATTTCCATTGCTATATCTTTTCTAGTTTGTCTTGTATTTCTGGTTTACGGAATTGGGAAACAGATTTATTAGAATTTTATGATTGACTTGCTTGCCCTTTTTATTCATCAAAAGATCATGTAGGTAGAAAATTTGTGGTATATATAAATGCCCTTTGTCTTGCAGGCAAATGATGCCCGGAAGGAGTTGTTCGATAAAGAGAGAGAAATTCAGGATGTGAAACAAGAGGTTGTGGGTATGAAACAAGCGCTTAAAGAAGCTAATGATCAATGCGTATTGCTCTACAATGAAGTACAGAGGGCGTGGAAAGTTTCATTTACGTTGCAATCAGATCTGAAGGTTTATAGCTTCACCTTTGCTCATACTCAGCCTCTCCATTACTTTTTATATATAATTATATATATGTGTGTGTGTGTGTTCGATTGCCTTATGATTTACTTTTCTGTTTCATGCAGTCGGAGAATACTATGCTTACCGACAAACATATGATAGAGAAGGAGCAGAATGCTCAACTAAGAAGTCAGATAGCTCAACTTTTACAGTCCGAACAAGAACAGAAGCTGCAGATACAACATCGAGATTCCACCATTCAAAATCTCCGGGTTAGTGTGCTCCTTTTTTTTTTAGTTTTCTGTGCTATGTAGGTACGGGGCTTAAGCCTTTAGCTTAAGCATCCATTCCACCCAGTGAAAAACGCTGGGAAGGAGAGACTTCTCTGTGCCCGATAGTCATAATATTCTCCTTTTGTTTGTTATTTTTTATGCTTCAGGATAAAATTAAAGGTTTAGAATCACAACTAAGTGAAGCCTCTCGCTCCGATTCAACGAGATCGGGAAATGCCTTGGGACCTCAATCTGGAGTTCCTTCAGTCGTAAAATCAGTTGGGGACACAATCGATTCTTCTTCAGTTACAAAGAAACTTGAGGAAGAGCTGAAAAAACGTGATACGCTGATTGAGGTTGTGCTTTGTCTTCTTACTCTAGAGCATATTTTCACGAATGATACTCTGCTTTCTCTTGCTATGTGTGTGTGTGTATTCACGATTACGCTTTTCTGAAAGGAGTAATTGGTTCTGCAGAAATTGCATGAAGAAAATGAAAAATTGTTCGACAGATTAACGGAAAGGTCCATGTCTGTTTCTACCCAGGTAATTGGTGCTGCTCTTGCAGCTGTTTGGCAAAAAATGATTCTGTTTCTCTTCATTAGTTGTTACATATCTTGGCACTTTGTATTCGTCTGGAAATTCACTTGCTCCGAGTGGCCATTTCCTAAGCTTATTATCTGTTTTTTTTTTAAATATCTTTTTAGATATCTAGTCCCTTATCAAAAGCCTCCTCAAAGGTTCAGCCTGCAGATTCTCAAAGGTGGTTCCTTGGCCACTTTTGAAGTTTATAGATTCTTTCAGTCTTCTCTATTTTGCATCACCTGATTTATGACGATTTTTCTTCTCTTTTTGTTATTTTTTCAGGAGAAATAGTACGACTGAAAAATTTTCAGGAGATGCTGTTGACTTGGCATCTTCAGCAGATAGAAATGATGGCACAGTTGCTTTAGTTAAAGCTGGCTCTGATAAAATAAAATCCACCCCTGCTGGAGAATACTTGACAGCTGCATTGAATGACTTTGATCCTGAGCAATATGAAGGCCTTGCCGCCATTGCTGATGGTGCAAACAAGCTTTTAATGCTGGTACTTGGCTATTGCCTTGTTGTTACAGTTTGGCTTTTTAAACTTCTTAGCAATGTGAATATTTGATACGACCGTGCCTTCTAAACATCATCTGTCAATGAAAAGTTACAATGAGTTCTGTATATGCTGTTTATGATGTTTAAGTTACATTAAGATATAATTTTCGGTATTGTTGACTTGCAGGTGTTGGCTGCTGTCATCAAGGCAGGTGCTTCGAGAGAACATGAAATCCTTGCTGAGATCAGAGATGCTGTCTTTTCATTTATCAGAAAGATGGAAGCAAGGAGAGTAATGGATACCATGCTTGTTTCTCGGGTCAGAATATTGTATATAAGGTCCTTACTTTCCCGATCACCTGAGCTTCAGTCCGTTAAGGTAACCATAGAATAAGACCGCTAGCCTTTTGGGTAATCCTACAACTATTTCCTTTCTCCGGGAAACATTAATCTCTCCTCCTTTTTTTAGGTTTCTCCTATCGAATTCTTTCTGGAGAAACCTGCTGCCCGAAGTAGAAGCTCTAGCAGGGGTAGCAGCCCCGGTAGATCACCAGTTCGATATGTTAGTGAACCGATTCAAGGGTTTATAGTAAATATAAAGCCAGAAAAGAAAAACAAGTTGGTGTCTGTTGTCTCGAGAATCCGTGGACTTGAGCAGGTAGATAGGTGCTTGATGCTTGCTTGATGGTTTCCTATTTTATTACAACTCAAAAGTTACATCACATGTTCTGACTCTTTGATCATGTCTTCTCTAGGATTCAGGGAGGCAGCAAGTGACTGGAGGAAAGCTGAGGGAGATACAAGATGAAGCCAAAAGTTATGCAATTGGGAACAAGGCCCTGGCTGCATTGTTTGTTCACACTCCAGCCGGTGAACTGCAGAGGCAGATTAGGTCGTGGCTTGCAGACAACTTTGAGTTTCTTTCTGTTACAGCTGATGATATCTCGGGAGGGACCACTGGTCAACTAGAGCTTCTTTCCACGGCGATTATGGATGGTTGGATGGCCGGGTTAGGGGCCGCGTTGCCACCTCACACGGATGCTCTGGGAAAGCTTCTATCCGAATACGCAAAACGGGTTTATACTTCTCAGATGCAGCACCTCAAGGTATGCCTGCCTTTGTCACCATCTGTCAAAAAGTGGTTCTTCTGTTCAAAGAATCAATTTCCAAGGTTTATGGTCATGTCTGAGCAATTGCGCTAGAGCTACAACAAATTTGAATGCTGAATATTGATGGGTGTGATCAGGATATTGCTGGAACCTTGGCAACAGAAGAGGCGGAAGATTCTGCTCAAGTAGCAAAGCTTCGATCAGCTCTTGAGTCTGTTGACCACAAAAGAAGAAAGGTGTTTCTTTTATCTTATCCCCCGAGAACGAGAAGAAAGAAAATCAATTTTTTGATCCAGATTTCCGTTATACCGTCAAATCCTGTTGTGCTGATTCTTTACTCTCTCTTTTTTAATCAGATTTTGCAACAGATGAGAAGTGATGCGGCTTTGCTTGCCTTGGAAGAAGGCAGTTCTCCTGTCCAAAACCCTTCTACCGCTGCTGAAGACACGAGATTAGCTTCTCTCATTTCTCTCGACGCCATTCTGAAGCAAGTCAAGGTCCCATCATGTTCCTTGCCCAATCCTGGATCATGGGTTTCATTATATTATACAATTCACAAACTTTTTATTTTTTTTCATCTTGGCAGGAAATTGTAAGGCAAACCTCCGTACATGTCTTGAGTAAAAGCAAGAAGAAAGCATTGCTTGCTTCTATTGATGAACTCGAAGAACGGATGCCTTCCCTTCTCGATATCGATCACCCTTGTGCTCAAAGGGAAATCGCTACTGCACGGCAATTGGTTGAGGTATTGATGAATCCATTTTCACTTCCCGATCCAATGGTTTCCTCAGACGATCTTCTGGAACCATCATCACATGCCCGGAAGCTCTCCATAGATTCCATGTCATCATCAACCGAAACCGATGTGTCTCAGTGGAACGTTCTGCAATTCAACACTGGATCCACAGCCCCATTCATCATAAAATGCGGAGCCAATTCCAATTCGGAACTCGTGATCAAAGCCGATGCTCGAGTTGGAGAAGGAGCAAAGGGAGACGAGATCGTGAGAATGGTGCCGAGACCGTGGGTATTGGAGAACATGAGCTTAGAGGAAATGAAACAAGTGTTCGGTCAATTACCAGAAGCTCTGAGCTTGCTGGCTATGGCGAGGACAGCCGAGGGGACAAGAGCTCGCTACTCGCGGCTCTATAGAACTCTCGCCATGAAGGTTCCCTCTCTCAGGGACCTCGTCGTCGAGCTTGAGAAGGGAGGTGCCCTTAAAGACGTTAAGTCATGAAACTTCACACACACACAAAAAAAAAACTTTTTTTTTTTTGTAGGTTGAGGCTTGTTTTGTTTGTGTATTACATGCCAATGTGTTTTGTGGCTTTTGTACTCTGTATTTTGTTTATTATTTCTGGGGATATAATTCAGCACCCGAATCTCTATTTCTTAAATTGATGTTTTTTTTTTGTCTGAACTACAATAATGTATTAATTTCAAATGAAATTAGACATGTGAAGCAAATGGGCCAAGACCACGATACTAGAATATGTTGGGCCTTTATAAAGGCCCAATAAGCCCAGCTGTGATTTGACTTGGAGCCGTATCAACTTGCAGGAAGCTGACGCGGTAAATTGTCATCGTCCATTCAACTCGCCCTTATCGAAAAAACCCAAAACCATCGCCACCGCGGTTTATCCACGCGCCATCATTTCTCACGCGCATTGAACGGCGTCGTTTCATCGAGCGTGTCATACACGCGCGAGTAGACAACTCTTTGGCACAGCTCAATCTGGCTCTTTC